CCGTCCTCTCTAGGAAATATAATTTTTCCATAACATACATTGCAGGAATCATACCCCAACAACATTGTAATCTGCAATGTTAACAGAGAAAATTTCTGAATAATTACAGGTATATTAATGATAATTACTGTTAATGAACTCAACCAGAACTCTGTGACTTGTACAATATTTGGTGAAGCATACAGCAGGGAAAAAAAAATCAAACATAAGAAATCATCCCAACTGCCCTCCCCCCTGCACGCCTCCTCCGAGTTCATCCCACCACCCAATACCACCTACTAATTCCTCTTCCCCAGACAAATGCCTGGGAGAAAAGGTGAAGTTTCAGCATGTCTTTAATATCAACAATTCTGGGCTTTGATGGGTGAAAAGGGAAGCAACAGCAGAACCTGAGGGTCCTTCATTGAACATGACCAGTCTCCAGCCCCTTCCTTATTAAATCCAGGCAATTGTTAGCTCAGCATTTTAACTAGTTGCAGTTGCTGGGACATCGCCCTGGGAAAGAGGTGATTTCTGAGGTCACTCAAAATCTAAATTATTTTAAAGTTTAATCGTTCAAACCCAACACATTGGTTTACACAGAGATGTTGTTACCTAGATATGGGACTGAAACTAATGGCAGGTCACATTTTCTCTTAAACAGTGGAAACCTTCAGAATCTGATCTGAACACTCTGGCTTGGGCTCATTGCTACTAACTTCATCTATTTCCAGTTTATTTGCAATAGGAAATGGAGGAGCTTTCGTGTCTGAACAGACAGCTGGTTAAACTGCTCCAGGCTCAGGCCACCATCCCTTCCCTGTACTAGATGATGAAGAAAAGGTTACATGCAGACATTGAGTTCAACTGTTCACTAAAATCCACAATAGAAATGATAGATCTGTGTCCAGTCTGAACGCTATGCACACAGTGAAATAACTCTTTTTATTTGACAGGGATACTTAAAGAAGAAAGGGGTAAGTTTTAATTTCTATTACTTAGTTACACCCTGAGGACCAAATGGTGCCCTCCTTTTCATCTGCTCCATCCCACAGACTTCAGCAGGGTTCACTACTGAGTGCAGGACCTTGGCTCAGAGCTCACAACTGTACAGGATTATGCGCTACACTCCATACTGTACCCTGGTCAGCCTATTTGTGCTACATTGCAGTCAGGTGGTGTTCTGCAGACCCAGCTGCTGCCCACTGACAAGAGGGAGGAGGAGGAAGAGATGTTCATGCAGCAGTGCTAGGCTCCATCCTCTTCTCTCCTCCTGGACCCTGAGGAGCAGAGAGAGGCCTTGGAGGGAAGAAGAGAAGTACTCGTGAGTGGGCAGTATTTTTTCAAGATGGGAGGAGACAAGGAGATGCTGGGCCAAGGCAGCATGTTCACGAAGAGGGAGGAGGGAGCAGGGAGAGCCTTGAGCTCTTTCTCCTTCTTCCTTCCTCTCATCCTCAGAGTGCTCAATTGCTGCTTCACGTACTCAGGAGCTAGCTGAGTCAGACACAGAGCTAAAGCCAGGAGGTACTTGTGACATACCAGGGTACAATCCAAACCAATGTGGGGCTGTTTCATAACTGCCCTGCAACCTTGGGTGCCTTACAATGCCACCTGGGCTGCTCACAAACAGCCTTCCAGCATGGAAGCCGCACACTGAGTGTCTGTGTGTACCTGCTGGCTCTCACCATGCTTGTTTATACTGCAGGTTCACTCCAACACACCCCCAGTCCCAGATTTCCCCCCAGAAATGTATGTCCTGTACTGCCCAGCCCCCTCCTGGACAGTACAAATATATAAAGTCCATTATTCCTGTAAGGGAATAATATGCCAGCTTGTTACCTTAAAACAGAGTTACCCAGATATTTCAGTTTAAATATACTGGATTAGATAAAACTGTAAATTAAGTGTATAAATTACAGGGAAATACATTTTAAGTGAGTACAAGTAATGAGGCATAAAATTTGGAAATTGTTACAAGAAAAATAAAGATAAAACACCTACTTGTGCCTAATTTCTCTCCACATGTTTCCATCAAGGTTACTGACCAAATTATTTAGGTCAGGAGCTCCCTGAGTCCAATGTTTGTTTTCCTTTGTCTTCTTACGTGCAATGCCAGAGATAGATGGGGGGGTATTGGGGTGTTTGCACCTTCTTTTTTAATTTCACTCCTACTCTTGAAAAACATTTTCAACTGGCAACTAGCAAGCAAAGATTTTATGGGGAAGGATGTTCCCTGATTTTCCCCCCACCTGTTTGAGCTTCCTTTTTTCCCCTTCCTACTTGATGACTCTATTTACTGCTTAAATTAACCTTTAGGCAAGAACAAATTCCCTTGTTTACAACAGACCTGTTTGCTGACTTCTGCTTGAGCAGGGCTGTGGGGTGTGGATCATGTGTTAATAACATCATACAGGGGAATCTTATAACCTTACGTAAAATGTTGCCACTCATTTGATCAGGACAACATTGACCATCAATGGTACCTTACAAGGCCTGTGCAGTGTAAGGTGTGTATGCAGCAGCCCTTTCTGGCTGCTCTATAGTCTGTGCACCCTGAAAACAGTGAGCCCAGCAATAAGGAACACCCCCTTCTCTCATGAATGCACACACAAATACATTTGAAGGAGACAGGAGCCCATATCAGGGAAAGAGGAGGAGAAGGGGGTTGAAGATGCAGAGCTGTGGATAGGGAAAGGGCATGGGTTCATATATCAGGGTTTCAGGGCAGGAGTTCACTAGGTGGTTGGTAGGACACAGGGACAAAGGTGGCAAGAGGCAGCAGGTACAACATAGGGAAAGGATGTAGCAGGAAAGGGAGGCCAATGATCTAAAGAAGAGGCTCCCTCACCCATATCAAAACTTATGAATTTCAGAGTGTCTGAGACTGTGATATCTCCAGTGGTGAAATGGGTTACCATACAGTACTTATAGAGCAGACCAGTGCTATGTGGAGTGATGCTGAGGTTTTGAGTTCCATCCTCCCTTCCAACCCTGATATTCTATTAGGAAACACTTTTTCACTAGGAGGGTTGTGAAGCACTGGAATGGGTTACCTAGGGAGGTGGTGGAATCA